CAAAATGGCGTCTGCCGTATCACACCTTTGTATACCTCCGCTAAGGTGTATGGATACTTTTCTGTCGACCAATCAGATTCTTTGAAATATGACCTCACCGTCTCTTAACCAATCACCGTTCAGATGAAATAAAGAGTTCCTACCCGATATAAGGTTATCCCGAGCAACGTTCCGCATTTCTTTCCTGCCTGTCGCCCTGAGTGTACGTACCTGCTTTTGCTTCGACAATCATTCTTCACTGCTTCGAATGGATCAGGCACGAAACCACAGAGAGGTAAGTAACTTTTTGAAATATACTGTCTTTAAATTTTTAATCTTTAAAAATAGTTGAATTTGCAATATGTGCTTAATTTGTCTTTACTTTTTTTCAGATGGAAAACCTATTTGAGAAAGAACCTATGCCTTTGAACGATAAAGTGTTGAGCCATGAAGACCGCACCCAAGATGTTCCAAGAGAATCAGCTAGCTCTTGTACCAAAAGAAAAGCAGAAGAAACATCCCATTTCGAGAAAAAAGTACGTATTTGCGAAAGTAGTTTATATGTCAAAGTTGATATTGTATGTGACCCCATTTTTTTGTATGTTATTGGTATACTAACTGATTTAATTTTTTTTTCAGCGCAAAGGACTCTTCACCGAAGAGGCTATTCCAGAGGAGCTCACTCACATGGGAAACAATGTCTTTGTGGGACCCAGCATTTACAAGGGAAAAGTGACTGTGCACATCCGAGAGTATGCCAAATATGGTAAAGCTTACTATCCGACAAGACGTGGAGTGAACTTTGAGCCGTTGTGTTGAATATTCTCGCAACCAACATGACAGTAGAGGAACCAGACCTGCTGACACTAAATCTGGAGTTGCCCAAGAACTTTGTGGTCACGTATATAAGGATTCCCACTTCACTCTGAAACAACTTTCTGCTCAAGGAGATGAAAAAAGTAGCCTCAGCATTACAACTACGCAGTGGGAAGAACTGATGACCCACTTTAGCCGTATCAGCGACATTGTCACCAACCTCGTTTATCAAAACATGAACTTTTGTGAAGCCTACGAAAGCATATCCGACGAACCTGTTAAGGAGGAAAATCTGCCCCAGTCCTTCGACATTTCTATGGGAAGAGCACGCCTCCAAACCATTCTAAAGATGTCACTTGAAGAGCTTCTTAACCAACAAGAAGAACTAAAATATCCCCAGCGCATAGACTGTGAAGAACTTGTTCATAAGACAGAAACTGTGAATGCCATTGCTCTGAGATTCAATGCTGTTAACATCGCCAGACAATTTTACGGAAATATTTGGGCTGAACAATCCTATTTAATGTTACTGAAACCTGCTCACTACATTACCAAGGACTTTTTAAAATCTGTGCGTTTAAATCATGTACTCGATGAAGTAAGAAACACATTTTGTACTACCAATGGTGTCTTAGGTATTGAATACTATGAATATTTGTAAATTAATTAGGATATTCAATAAAATGTTATTTTGTTTTACAATGTCCTCATGACTGTCTCCAGGTTCAGACCTTATTTAAAAGAATTAATCTGTAATGAACACTAAGATAAATTTTAAATATACCTATTGAATACAAACCTATTGATTTTTATAGTATAAATATAATTGTTCTTAAACATATATATCATTACTTGTTCAACCTTTGAGATGTTAAGTAACATTCATTTTCTCTCTTGTACATGTTTTAGACCTATTTTCTAAAATCTTCATATCGGCAAGTTATTAGAAACTTCGGCATTATTTCCCTGTTTTAGTTAAACATATATAAATGAATATCAGCGTACGCTTAGATCATAACAACTGTTGCAATGAACGCAGCTCTGTCTCAGACCTATCAGATCCACAGGTTCCCGCAAGTTTCGGGGGTGTTGCTGCTTTGCATCGTGCTTTAAAAGGTCGCGTAAAAACAAAAGACATCCAGAAATGGTTGCAAACCAAAGATTCTTATACTTTGCACAAGCCTTTGAGGCACAAGTTTCCCAGGAACAGAGTCATCGTAGGAGGCTTAAACGAGCAATTTCAATCTGATTTAGTGGATATGCAATCCCTGGCGTCTTTTAATGATGGATATAAATATTTGCTGACCTGTATAGACATCCTTTCAAAATACGCTTGGGCTATCCCTCTCAAAGATAAAACATCTGTGTCCATCCAATCTGCTTTCGAAAAGATATTTTCGGAACGTACACCTGAATCATTACAAACAGATGCAGGGAAAGAGTTTACCAATAAACACGTTCAAAATTTTTTGAAAAAGAGAAACGTTCACTTTTTCACGACACATAATGCAACCAAAGCTTCTGTCGTAGAACGATTTAATCGAACTCTGAAAACGAAAATGTGGAAATACTTTACCGAAATGAATACACGAAGGTATATTGATGTGATTGATAAATTGATATCCAGTTATAACCATACATGGCATCGTAGTATTAAGACAGAACCTGTATCGGTTACATTACAAAATCAAGAAAGAATTTGGAAAACGTTGTACGGTCAGCAACCTAGTACAAAACCCTGTTTCTTCAGATTTAAAGATTGGAGATACGGTACGCATCAGCCGAGAAAAAAATGGCTCTTTGAGAAAGGATACGAACAAAACTGGACAAGAGAAATTTTTACAATCTATAAAATTATTCGACGGATTCCAGTTGTCTACAAACTGAAAGATCTAGCAGGAGAAGTTATACAAGGAACTTTTTACAAACAAGAACTTCAAAAGGTTTCGGACTCTGGTTATTATCCCGTTGAAAAAGTTTTAAAAAAGAGGAAACGTCGCGGGAAAGTGGAATATTTTGTGAAATTTCAGGGGTACCCCGAAAGCTTCAATGCTTGGGTGGATGATGTGAGAAGGGTATAAAAGGCCGTACATTCTGCTTATCTGTCATTTGAACGAAACATGTCTTTCTTTATCACACTGATCAGTGACAGCTCCATGCACTTTTTTCCAGACAACAAAATATCACAATTTACCACTCAGCTTCCTACTCCGATGGATTTAAATAATCAGTGGGAGTTATTTCTTATGGACTTTATTTATCCTCACACGTGTTTTAACGTCCGAAAAGACAATAATTTATTTGGATTGGATTTGGGTGATGGGAAATTGGAAGGTCTAAGAGTGCCTCCAGGATGTTATGGAACGATACCAGATTTATTAAAAGCCATGAAAATACCTTCCCATAAAAATAAGATTGAATTCAGTTATCATCCTGTCACGAAAAAAGTGACCATTAAGACCGACGAAAACTGCAAAGTCATTCTTCACGAAGGATTAGCTGAGCTTCTAGGGTTCGAGCCGGGTGTTTACAAAGGATTGGAGCAAAGTCCTTTTGTAGCCGATCCCAAAGTATCTATTCCTGTCATGTATGTGTATTGCGATCTCGTAGAGCCTCAAATTGTCGGAGATGTACAAGCTCCGTTGTTAAAAATTGTCACCGTAGAAGGAAATGACGGAGACATCATAAATGCTCATTACCCCCGGCCCATTTACTTGCCAGTTATCCGTCAACATTTTCAGACTATACATATTGACATAAGACTTCACTCTGGAGATTTAGTACCATTCGAAAGAGGCAAAGTATTTCTTGTGTTGCATTTTCGTCTGAGACAAATTCTATAAAAGAAGCCTTCATTCTGCAAATTGATTTTCATTTGGATTGTGTATGCAAGATTAGAAGCATTCAAACATGCAGGTGCCTTACACGTGTTGCACGAAAAAATTTGAAGATTATTATTTAGCTCAAACTGGAAATGGATTACCTTACTATCAAGGAACCATTTTATAGAAAAGTTATGGTATTGGTGAATTTTTTGCAAAGCTGTTTCGCAGTGCTATGCCTTTTTTGATGAGTGGAGCCAAAAGAGTTGGAAAAGAAGGTTTGCGGACTGGAACACAAATTGCAAACGACGTATTGTCGGGAGAAAATTTTAAAGTCTCCCTCAAAACCAGATCTAAAGAAGCTGGCAAAAAATTAGCGAGGAAAGCAGTTCAGAAAGCAGATGAGATGATTTTGATGTCAAAAATTTCCCAGAACCAAAGTCATTTACTAGTTTAAGACGATTTTTAGGTATGGTGAATTTTTATCACAGATTCATACCAAATTGTGCGAAACTGCAACAACCTTTAACAACATTGCTCAGTGGTATTAAAAAGAACTGCAGAAAAGAAATAACCTGGACGGCAGAAACAAGAAATCCGGGCCTTCCGTTAAGATCTTAAAAGATGCACTTATTCATGCCACAAACTTAACTCACCCATCCGAAAAGGCTGAAATATCGCTAACAACTGATGCTTCCGATACTGCCATTGGAGCCGTTTTACATCAGATTGTGAATAATGCAAAACAACCCTTAAGTTTCTTTTCCCGAAATTTGACATCAGCACAACAAAAATATATACAATAAACGGACAGAGAACTCTTAGCTATCTATACAGCAGTAAAACATTTCAAATACATCTTAGAAGGGCGAACTTTTGCAATATACACGGATCACAAACCACTAACATTTGCCTTCCAACAAAATTTGGAAAAAGCTTCACCACGACAAGCTAGACAACTGTCATATATTGGCCAGTTCTCAACCGATATCCGATTCATACAAGGGGCATGAAAATACCGTCGCTGACGCTCTCTCTCGCATAGACATCATTTCTGTACCATCTGCAATAGACTACAAACTATAGTAGACTGTCAAGAAGATGACGACTTGGAGATACTAAAAAACAACCCAAACTTAAAAATTCTACAGATCCCTATACCGGACAGCGACAAGAAAATTTACTGTGATACTTCTACAAATTATAATCGACCATACATCCCTGCAAAGTTTCGGCAGAAAATATTTTCTTCAATCCATAATTTATCTCATCCTGGAATAAGATCCACGATAAAATTGATAACACGACGTTTCATATGGCCCAATATGAATAAAGACTGCCAACTATGGACTAGAGCATGTTTATCTTGCCAAAGATCTAAAGTTCACAGACATACACAGTCATCTTTGGGAGATCTGGTGGGTCCGCTACCTTCTTGCAAAGGATTCAAATACATTCTAACCATCATCGATCGTTATACACTATGGATCGAAGCGGTAGCGTTAGAAGATCAATCAGCAGAATCTATTGCTAAAGCTTTGATTTATACTTGGTTTTCACGCTTTGGAATTCCGAATCGCATAACATATGACCAAGGTCGGCAATTTGATAGCCAACTCTTTCAAGCTTTAGGAAAATATCTTGTTTTCATACAAAACACTACAACTGCGTACCATCCACAGGCCAATGGCTCGAAAGACAGCACCGAACTTTAAAAGCAAGTCTCAAATGTCATCTACTCGAATCAAAATTATGGCTGGAAGCGTTGACTTTCGTTCTTTTAGGCATAAGATCTGCCATCAAGGAAGACTTAGGTTGCTCATCCGCAGAACTTGTATACGGAACTCCTTTAGCATTACCTGGTGAATTCTTTTCAACAATACCTCATATTAAACAGTCTGAATTTTCTCAAAACCTTCAGAAAATAATAAGAGCTATGAAGCCAAGTTCTACCACCACCCGTGGAAATAGAACAGTCTTTGTTTCTAAACATCTTTCCAACTGTTCTCACGTATTCCTATACAACAACATTAATAATTCGTAGCTACAGCCTGTCTATCTTGGACCGTATCCTGTAAGAGCAAGAAAGGATAAGTACTTCGATATTGAAATCCGAGGAAAAGTTAAAAGAGTTTCAATAGACCGACTAAAGCCATGTTTCCTAGTGCAAACTTCTGATATTCCTTTCCAAAACTCCCATTCCAAGAAAGCGGAACTTGGGGAAACACCTGCACTCAAGAACACTGAAGGAAATTCAGAAACTCATCATGAAACCAAGACTACTAGAACCGGCAGACATGTGAAGTTCCCCAGTCACTTTAAAGACTATCTTCCATAATCGCTGTCACTAGGAAGGGGGTGTGTAGAGTCGCTTCAGTTCCGTCAAGTTTCTAATTAAATTTAGTTAAAGCGGAATGGCAACACCTTCTAGTCTCCGCGAAGAACGAAGTAAAACAAACTTCGAGTTTTTGTCACGCGATTGCTACGTGCATGTAAAATGTAAATAAATATTATGAATAAGGATATATAGTCCGGGTTCGATCCCAGCGAGGAATGACTCTATAACTTTGTAAGGAATAAAATATTGGTTCCATTGGAGTCAGAGAAGTGTTATTATCTTACATTTGCATACCAGACACTTCAAACTGTTTATTTTCATGAATTGCACCCTCAAACTGTCCCCAAAATCCCTGACAGTTTTCATATTTGCCGTCGAACGGTTCTATTTTTAATTTTGGCAGTTTAACATTAGGATAATTAATAATTACTCCTTCTTCAGAAATTCTAGAGGATTCATCGTGTACATCAATTTTACTTTCGTTTTCACGTTTACGCTTAACGTGTCTTTCTAATAGTTTCGATTTGGAACTCGTAATCTTTTCGCGGTATTCCTGGCTTGTCAGAACATCAGCTTCAAGCATTTCTAAATCACTTATAATGCTTTCTATGGTAGAATCTAGCTGATAGATCTGATTAGCTTTTTCTTCTAACTGACATTTTAAATCATCCAAATCGTCATAATCAATATTGTCCCCCTTTAATGTGCCATTTATTTTATTCACAATTTTAGTTAAAAGAAGTTCGAATAGTTTTTTTTTACTCTTTAACTTCTCTAATTCACTAGGCTGTGCCATTTTCAATTACTATAGCTCTCGGTAGTTCGACACCATAAAACAAAATCGGATATAAATAATAGATATTGCCTGGTTCTTGATCTTCTTAGCTTCTAAAGAAAGTAATTGAAATTTACTTAGCTTTTAATCCTTTATTGACACATTATAACGAAGAACAATTCACTTGACAAAACACATCTTACATATCTAGCTACATTCTAAAGATAAAAGTAAACAAATCAGTTTTAAATTCAAGGGCTCACTATCGCCCCCTATCGGCTGAGTTTGCAACAGTTCTAAAACTTATTATTATTATTATTATTATTATTTTTTAATTTCTATTCTTGTTTCTTGGACAAGCTTTTGGTGCACACTTAACATACACAGCCTATTTAAGCGATTCTCTCTTCTTACTCTGCACCAAGATCTTACTCTCCACAGCGTACTAAATGAATGCTCAATAATACACCTAGTACAAGGTTGAAAAAAAAGATATAAGAAGAGCACGTTTCGTTTCTGGGGAAAAAATTATCGCTTCTATTACCAAATCTTCCATAGCTAACCCCTTCATGTTGTCGATCTCGAGTTTCTTCGTTTTCCAAAAATTATACCAGAGTTTTCTCTCATTGTCAATTTTTTTCAAATTATGAAAGCTGTAAAAGCACTCCACATTTTTGGTAAATTTTTCCATTGGCATCTTTAGCATAGCCTCAGGATGTAATAACAACAAAGAAAATGCTGATAAATTATTACTGGAAAATCTTTCTTCCGGTGATTGTTGCGTACGTACGGTTTCTTAATAAATAGAATGCCCAAGTCCGATAAAAAGTCAACAAAATTTATTCTTATCACAAGAAATAAAACAAAATGCTGAAATTCTTCCTCACAGATATTCGTACAATATCACAATATCGCACAGTATTTATATTTTGAACTACTAAACCGTTAAATAGAACTTTATCCAAAGCGCAGAGAAAGCTAATCCGATTTCACCGCGAATTCGCTACAAACAACAACAAAAACTTAGTAAACAACTGAACTGAGATGTTTTGCTCCGATTTTTATAAGCTTTTTAATCATGCACGAGAACATTCTGGTATTTTCTCGAGGTTTCTGGAAAGCAAAAGAGTACAATTACGAGATATCTGTCTATTGAATGTTAAAATGCGCGTGCTCCTGTATTTCTAATTTTTCGGCGTACCTTTCTCTTAAAACTCGTCATGTGAGGCTTTGCCATAATCACACACACACACACATTTATAGAATTTATAGATTGTAGATGCTGGAGGATTTCAGTGATGTTTTTGCAGTTTTGCAATTCTCGGTGCTTGCAATTCAGTGCCAATGCTCTCAGACATAGGCGAAAGGCAGAATTTCCTGGCATAAAACATCTGTTGTTCTTATATGTTCTTTTACAAGCATTAAAATTCTGTTTATGTGGTCTACACATTGTAGCACATTTAAATTTTTGGACTGCAAAATATTAGCCATAGATGCAAATGAAGGATTGCCCTACTCAAGTCGAAGTTCCACTGACAGAGATTCTGACTAGTGCGTGTTCGCCTTTTGGCTACACTCTCTCTCTAAGCTATTACTATGCTCGGCCGTATTTCAGGTCCTTGATAGCTTCGCCGTTTAGTTGACATTTAGGAGCCAACTCCTGTAGAATTTTGATAGCTTCGGCTATATATTTTTAGTTAAGCATTAGTTAAGTTTGATTTTCTTAGTACTCTTGAGTTCAAACCCAAGTGGAGGCTTTTCTGTACGTCCTGAGAAATGGCCATCTGTTAATTTTTATTTTGAGCAATAAAGGGTAATTAACCCTTCCTGAGTTTACGTTTCTGTTTCCTGAGCTAAAGCAATTATTCACTTACCAGTTCTCAAGGTTCCATACACACAGCTGTAACTTTAAGGTTGGAACCTTATAAGTTTAATAAAGATGTCCCCAACACCAGTGGACCCAGATATAAGTCATGAATAAGATGTATGACTATATTATTTTTGAAGGAGAATTCTTAAAATCCATTAACCTAAATTTTGTTTTGAGAGGTTAACAAAGAGCTACAGAACAATCAGATTTAATCCTCGAAAGTGCAGGACAGGAAAACAAAATTTGTGCATAATAAATTCTTCTTTAGAAGATGGAGGGAGAAAAAAGATATACAAGACCTTTGTACTGCATTCCCCGTTTTGCAGATTCACCAAACTTTTGATTGACAGGCACTCTTTTCTCCACCTATTATTCCAAATGTTATCCATATACGCCTGTTGTTCCTTGACAGTGACAGTAACAGCTTTCAAGTAACAACCCAGAAAGCATATAAAGAAAATTTTACAATGTGCTTTTGGCAAGAAAGATGTCCGAATCAGCTACTAACCTTACGGTTGCTAAAGAGCCTTCAAAATAAATTCTCCGAGTAACTTCATTCAATTATTTAAATTAAATTAATCATTAATGATTTAATTATCTATAACTTACATGACTCACTCTAATCAAATTGTCACTTTGATAATTAAGTGATAATATGATTGCCTGTCATTAAAGGTAAATAAAACTGTTGCTGTTAAGTAATTAGTAGTCATGATAGTATTCGAAGTAAGTATATCTAAAAATGCAGACACACTGCAATTCTAAGTTGAAGGTCATAAAATATATTATAATAAATTTGAAATTGGATTCAGGAAGGTTTTTAATTGTTCTGATGCTCAGAATAAGTTTTAAGATTAATTAATTATCTCTTTGTAGTTTTTTTTTATATAAATTTAATATTTAATGATTTAACATAATAATTTAGATATTTTCATAATATAATAATTTAGAATTTAAATAATATATATTTTATATATATAATTTAGATATAAAAGAAGAAAACAGTATATATTTTAAAATAATTTATTAATAAATATATGATACATCATGTGCATATTTCATACAGTTCCTTCTCTCAAACTTTACATGAAGGTTTTACTCGTAATACTTCTGCAATCATTTCATCAAACCAACAGGTAATATGCATGTTATCCAAGTAGAAATAATATAGTCTGTCTGTACACTTCTGTCTTCTGTAAACAGATCTTGGATCATTTTCAAGTATTTCTATTATTCCTTTTTTTGCACTTATTTGGCCATCAACAAATGTCAAGCAATATCTACATTTCTCACTGTGATCTTTTTCAGAATGAAACATTTCAAGATCACTCACTGCTCTGTTTGTAAACATTACATCAAGATATTCTGGTGCTTTACTTAGAGAAGGCAAGTTCTGGTTGAATTTCTTGCTATTTGTAAAACTTTCTAATTCAAAGAACTCTGATTTAGCATTTTGGTTTGGCAAAAGCTTAGTTTTACAATTGTAACTAAACTGTGAGCTGCTACCACCTAAAATTGATTTAAACAGAAAAATATATCATATGCAAAACACATAACAGAACATTCAACGCAGTTTTTTAATTTAAAAATTACTGTTAAAAATTACATCTAAAGTGTGCAGTTTGTTTTTCAAAGTTAACATGTTTCAAAATACACAGTTCTTAAAGAAAATATTTTTATTACCAAAATGTAAGTAATAATAATAATAAAAAAAAAATCAAATTTTTATAATAATCTTGCTTTGTTATAGAAAGTTTCATATTCCAATATTTTGGTTGATTGGGAATAAGCTTAATGATTTAATGGGAAAATCACTGGTTAATGTTAAAAAGAAAAAAAGAAGTATTTTTGATAAAAAATGCTTATCTCGAAAATTTGTCTTATCATAAGAGATGTCTAAAACAGTAAAGCAATTGTTCACACTTAGCATAAATAAATAAACTTCGAAACTTAGACATTAGCATGACATACAATTGTTTTGTATGATAATGCATAGGGATATTCATCTGCTATGTTCACTTAAAAATGATGAATACTGTCGTCCAGAATTTCCAACTAAATATTCTGTTATTATTGTGTGAGTTAAAGCACTTATAACTATATTTTAGTACATTCAATAATGCATATGATTGGAGAAAGCTCTAATGGACTATCATCAACTGCAGGCTTAAGACACTAAACATGAATCCCTATGGATACCAGCCACCTGTAACATGGGTTCATCATTTTTTATATTCAATTATATTAAATGCATGTAAAATTTTTCACTTTTGTAGATGTGGACGATTATGGTTATAGAATATATAACCATGTGACAAGACATAAAAACTTATATGCAATTACATAAGAATTAATTTAGAAAAAAAAATTAGAAATGCTTGGCTTTAAAAAATTATAAAAATATAAAATAACCTGAACATTGAAAAATGACTTTTGATAACTTTCCTCAAAATAATGTAAAGAATCTCTTCACATGTAGAAAATTTTATAATGCAAAAGTTCCATAATTTAAGACAAAATATTTGAACAATTACCAGCAGTACAATTTAAACAGATGGAAAATACTCACTGCCATTCTAAAACATTCTTCTTTTCTTTATTTTAGTGATAATTTAACCCATCACTTTAGCATAGATTCAATAAATGCATTCGGTCATCCCATAAATAACACAATTTTTTAGTGTGTTTAAAATACCACACACATACAAAACCACCCTTACAAAAGGGGGGAGAACTTAGATATACTAATCATTATCATTTAATTATACAGTTCTCAGCTTAATTTTAAATTTTCAGTAACATGGCAATAGAAATTTTTGTATTTTAGTCCAAAAAATAAATCAAGTTGTCTTCAGACATCTAATTACAAATTTAAATATATTACATTAAGATTATTTTGTCTTGGAAAAACAAGGTAATCTGACAGTGGCTGATCAGAATATGTCGGATGAGTCAATTTACATTTTGCGTTTTTAAAATTTCTCATGCGATGTGAGGTCATGTTTTCACAATGAAAAAAATATGCCTTTTCTGTTAAATACAGTAGGTTGTCTCCTGTCCCCTCCCCCATTCAGTGTCTTGCTTTAGCCCTGTCAGCTGTTTTATAGTACATATAAAACTACATACATATAGCTCTTCAGGGAAGACTTGATTTTTGAAATAGATGATTCTTTTCATATGTTACCAAAAACACATAGCAGTATCTTTTTTGAATAAAAGTGCCCTGAGTTATAGATATGTATATTGTTTTTATTAAGCTATCATTCTTCATATGCTAGCAAAGGATTACAGTGACTATGTTATTGAGAAATCACTCTTTTTCTAATCTAAAGACAAAATGCAAATAAGAAATCTAAAGACAAAAATGCAGATAAGAAATCTGCATTTTTTGCTTTAACTTAACATTTGATAAGTCATGCAGAAAATGATGATAAAAAAGTACTGGAAAGAAACTGCATTACTTAAGGAATGACCACATGCTAGGAATACACAGGTATAATAAAACAACTTATTTATTTTTCCTATACTTTCTTCTACCAGACATTTAAGATATACACAAGACACAGGATTATAACTACTTCTTCTAATTAAATTATTTTTTACACGATCTTCATCTAGATATAATTCATCATAAATTTGGAACCAAGTTTATATACTTAATTATATTTCTCTTTAAACAATGAATTTCTTATTTAACTCACTTTCAGACTGATGTTTTTCTGACAACTCATTTTCACTTGAAATTTTCAGAGCATTTGGAATGTCATAAAATGGTATATAAGGCTTGATATCAAGTACAGGTGTTTTATCTAGTATATCAATTCCAGACAAAAATAATATGCTCCCTAGAAAGCAAATAAAAATATAACATGTATAACTGTAAATGCAATTTTAAATACATTATAGTATGAACCATGCAGTTTTTTTAAATATATGTAATATTTTTATATTACTGGTGGATACTAATAAAATTTGTATCCACCAGTATTAGTTTCATATTAGTTAGAACATATAACTATTGAAAAATATTTAAGTACCAAATATTTCCTCAATAAAATAAATATTAAATTCATATAAGAGAAATAAATAACTTCTGAGAGAGATTCCTGAAAAAATAAAAATTATACAGCTAGAAAAGGAAAGTTACAAATTTTAGTATGTAATTTATATAAAACAATTTCACCAACTGCTTCAAAAGAAATGAAATGTTACACAATTAAATCCAGTTTTTGAATAAAGAATATAAAAGTTTAAAATGTTCATTTAGTGAAGGAAGAAAATAAATAAAAAAATTAAAATACCTCAATCATTCAAGAAAGAAATTTGAAGCAGTAAAAATTATACTTTATAATTATACTCTATAATTTAAGTATCATTACTTTATAATTGGGAACCAAAGCTGAGAAGATCCATGAAAGAATATCTTACATATTACAACTTCTGAGATTTACCGTATTTACTTGCATAATAGTTGCACCCCCCTTTTAAAGCAGAAAAAAATCTTCAAACGTGTGCAATACTGTGTAGTAGATTTCCCCACATAATAGTAGCACCTAGACTTTCACAATGAAAAATTAGCAAAAAAAAGTATAACTATTACGCAAGTAAACATGGTATTTTCAGGCTATATCAACAAGAAGAAAAAAGTGCTTCCTTTTGTGTAAATGAAAAAAAAGCATCTACTTCTATTAATTAAATTTTGTTGATTATTCTCTCAAGACACTGGTGGTAGCTATATCAGGTATAGGAATGTAAAATCTCAAATTCAACTCTCTAGGATATTCTTGGTCAAACCACAGATGAAAATATATTGACAGCCATCTTTTAAACCAACATGTTGACATGATTTTGGAAACTAAAGGAAAAAATGTACCAAACTACTTTTTTATGTTAAATTACTATATTCTTTCAAGCGATTATTTTTTATCAAGTCACACTCATGAATGGAGCAAAGGAGCTGATCTACTGGCAAATACAAATCACTCTCTTCTTTGAAAAGCTATCAAATATATAGTACTTATTTATTTCAGTATATGGTGGTGTTATAAAATTCCCGTGTATGCTTATGTGACAACCACAGCTTGATTTTCATGAAGGAATATATGAAAAAAATGTTGGTCTCTGTATTCTCCACATTATCATTTTTATGAAGCAAAGGGATGAATGAAGTGCAGTCTTTTGGTGAATTGGCTAAAAATTCATGGGATTTGTTAAGCATAGAGTATTACATCCCAGGACATCATTTGTAAAACTTTTTAAGGAGTGGGCTTCTCAGAATGCAATAGAAGGAACTGAAAATAATTTACTGTATAAAAGCAATGCTTCAAATCATGATAGTGTAAAAGACAAAGTAATATTTCAACAAAAGGAATATGATCAGGAAACAAAAACTACTATTGTACAGAATGTGCTTGAATTTTTGTGATGAAGTTTTTGTGATTAAAATTTTGTGATTAAAATTATAATCTATTTTATATAATATATTTTAAAATGATTAGTAAAAAACTTTTGCTGCCATTTGGACAAAAAGTCTGTAGATGTATTTACATAAGAATTTTGAATTTCTTGTTTTCTATTCCATTTAATTAGGAGTAGTTTTATTCATCTTTGTAGTATATGTGTGTGCATATATATATATATGGGGGGTATCCGTAAGTGCAACACAACCACCAGAGGGCCTCACCGATGCACCAGCAGCGAGAGCGAGGTGAAAGAGAAGGATGACATAGACAGACAGTGTTCTATTCCACGCGAAAGTGATAAGATGTCTCCCCAAGAAGCTGGTAAGACGTAGGTCTACACGTGAAGGTGTTAAATATGGAATTCTATGTTTCTACGTAAAGGTGGCAACTTGACTGCATATACGACAGCTAGTGCGAGTCAGCGCTAAGCTGCTATTTAGATTCTAAAAGTGATAAAGAACCGTGTTTATATCTAACAAGCGGGAGAAGGCGCAACATCGCTTGTATTTAATTCAATCTGTACCTTTTCTGTCATTTTCATGAAATATCATCTGTGGTGTGGAAAACATTGGAATTATTTTTTGAACCCTAGAAAAGCATCTTGAACTTCCCTAACATAGAAAATCTGGGAGCTCTGTCTGGAATACTTTAGAGAAGGTACTGTGAAAACTTTGCTTTATTTCTTTTTTGAAGATAGTGATACTTATGTTTCATTTTTAAAATGAGTTTCTTAAGTAATTTAAAGAAAAGTAATTTAATAGTAATTGCGAACAAATTGGAGAGACTGTTCCAGAAAATGCTAAAAAAGCTGACATTAAAAAAATTATCCAACATTCTGATGCCTTCAAAACGAACGTTGAATTTGTTCGTGATGTCGTCAAATCGATCGCCGAGGATCGGATGCCTACAACAAGTCATGAACACTATCTGTTAGAGATTGAACGTCTTAAATTAGCTCAAATTGAAAAGCAGATTGAGATAGAAAATTTAAAATCCCAATCCTTATCGGGTGATAGAAGAAACACGCAGACTAGTCTTGAAGATATCATTAAAAGCGTCAAAACACTAACTATAGCTATACCTCAGAAACCGGAAGCTCTGCATTTGTTTTTTCAGTCACTTGAGAAAGCTTTTACTACTAAAAGTGTACCAGTTGAATTAAAATCAGAAGTGTTGATTAGTTTGTTAGGTGATAAATGTAATAATGTTTTAACGTATGTTTCTGAACAAGAGATCGCGGATTATGATAAATTAACACTAATATTGAAAGAATTTCAGCTGACACCGCATGAATGTTTGAATAATTAAAAAAATGCACAAAGATATTCATCTGAATCGCGTTTTCAGTTTGCATCTTGACTCGGTGCAACTTTCAATTATTATTGTAAGTTGCGAGAGGTTTAAGAAATTGTGTGATCTTATTGTATCTGATAAGTTGTATGGAACTCGGGATTCTAAAACAAAGGAACATATCAATGTTCAGGAGGGTCAAAGTTGGTTCCCACCTAATTAATTGGGGAGAGAATGTGATTTATTTTATTCATCTAGGTGTAAATCTTTACCTGATACCAGTAACACGTGAATCGAAACTCCAGAAAATAAAAAGCTTAATTTTTCCAGAAACAATCTTAGGAAAGCTCAGAGCAATTTCAAGGATTCAGGGAAGCTTGTAAATCAGAATAGTAGTAAAACAGAACGTATTTGCTATGTATGTGGGAGTAAAGGGGAATTGTTTCATTTTGCGAGAAATTATCCCAAACGTTTAGAAGAGGAGGAAAGTTTTTCTCAAAAAAAAGGTATCTGGGTTAAAGATTGAATCGAATAATGCAGCTAGAAATAAGTTAGAATTTATTGAACTGTTGATCGATGGTAAGAAAATAAAATGTTTAATAGATTCTGGAAGTGAACTGTTAGTTGTAAAGAAATCTCTTTTTCCGAATAAAATATCATGTGGATGTATGGAACTCAAAAGTTCGGTTGGTCAGGTGCTTAAAGCGGAAATGGCTAAGTTGATTTTTTCTTTATGCGAAAGCAAAAAACAAACAGAGATAGAAGCAGCAATGGTTCATGAGCTAATTACAGAATTCGTTTTGCCGCCTTCGAGTCTAGGTGACATCTGTTCTGAGGGAGTGATGATTGCACAATATGAAAATGATCCCATCTCTTTGAAAAGGAATTTTTTTTTTTCATTTATTTCTGCAGCCATTGACGGAGACAACGAAATAGATTTATCATACATTCAGCATTACGTAATTCTGTTTCCACTCTTATTAATGAGTATAAACCGTTAGAAAAGCCGCGCAGTACAGAAAAAATGAAAGTAATATTAAAAGATGAAATTCCAGTTTCTCAGCGTTCGAGAATTCCTTTTGCTGACCAAAAAATTGTTGATGATCAAATAGATGAATGGTTAAAGGATGGAATTATAAAGCCATCGTGTTCAGAATATGCTTCATCAATTGTTTTGTGTAGGAAAAAATTGGGCAAGACACGAATTTGTATTGACTTCAGGCAATTAAATAAAAAAATAGTTAAGGATTCTTTTCTCATGGCACAAGAAGAGGTTTTAGATCGTTTGGGTGAAGCAAAGGTTTTTTTGACATTAGACTTAAAAAATGGTTTTTTCATGTTCCAGTGGAGGAAAATTACTAATATTGGATTATTACATGCAGGTTGTACGAATTCCTAAAAGCACCTTTGGTTTGTGCACGTCCCTAGGTATTCCAAGTTTTTAATTGTTAAGCAGGGGTTTGTGGGACCCCAAAAAATCCCCTGAAACTTTTACGGACTTACTACCGACATTTTGGAGTTTCGAGAAGGGGGGGGGAGAGAAATGAAAAATTACAATTATGAAGTATTGAATGACCTAATTATAAAAGTTCAATGAATTACTTTTTTTGCAAAATTAATAACCATAAATTTTCAAACATATAAACTACTACATTTTATGTAAATATTTTAAATTACCTGAATTAATTCTTTAAAAAAAATTATCTAATTTCTGCTGCTTTTTTTTATTTTCTGATGTTTGTGGGCTTGTCTTTCTTTTGTGGTGAACTTCATAATTGCAGGAAGGTTGACTTTTATTTTCCTCATTTACAGTTGAAGAAATTTCCTCGAGAACTGCACATGCAGAGGTAGAAGCAGTTTGCTTTTCTGCTAATGTAGAAGGTTTTTCAGAGACTTTTATAGGTGACTCATCTGAAATACATGTTTTTAAGTCCTCTTGATATGTTTTCCAACTTCTGTTCATATTCAGTAAGAGATCTTTGTGAATTGGATCAGTCATTGGATTTTTTGAGCCATATTTTTCACATGAGGTTTCTTTAGAAGCCATTAAATCATATTTAATAGTCTGCACTGCATCTAGGGAATCAATCTTA